ATTTCCAGCAACTTAACCTAACCCACCTCAGATTAAAATTTGATCAACTTTCTCCCAGAAATTGCAGAATAACAAACCTTTCCCTCTCTCTCTCTTTCTCCGGGGTGAACATTTATTTAAATTTTATCTTCTCTCTCCTCCTCCTCCTCCTCCGAGTATCTTGCAAAACAGGGCATTTTACACAATCATAATTAAATCGACTCTCCAAATGTCAGACAGAACAGACCTTTTCCTTCAATTCTGTACTTTATCGTTCGAATTACAAGTGCTGAAACCAGTGGCCGCGGAAGCGTGGGGACATGTGGGGACGTTAACATTGTATGGAGGGAGGGACGGGTTTGTATGACATTGTTAGGTATATGTATGCCTACGTAGATATGTATATGTAATTAGTTATGAATCTGTACATCACTCCATCTTTAACTCTCCACTAATAAATACTCTCCTCTGTCTCTTCTCACTGTGTACCACTTATTTATGTATAATCATATATACATAACATTGGTGGACCGTCGAGTACTTTCTTTCGCTCCTCCCACTCAAAATGGATTTTAAAATTATCAAAATTCTTCCGACGACTAAGCAGCTTGACCAACGCCCCTTAGAGCATTGTCATTTTGCTTCCGATAGGGAAACTTCCCAAATCTCTCTTCTCAAAACCTTGTGTAAACTGTGTGATTTTCCTGTGAAACTTTTTTTGTGAATTTTCGTCATCTGGTCTGTAAATTGGATTATCCTCCCGGATACTATCAGGTCTGTAAATTGGTTCTAAACCACCCTGAAAATCTTCCCCCATTCTTAAAATTTCCAAATCTCCAGTCCAAAATTTACATTTCATAATTCGAGCAAATATGCAAAATTTAAAATTGCGTTATTTGTTTTAAACACGTCAAAAAAATATATGCAAAATTGTCCTTCAAAATTGTTAAAAAATCGTAAAAATATTCGTTTAAATAAAATTTTCGTTATCCGTTTAAATTCTGAAAAATTGTCAGCAAAATTCGTTCAAAATTTGTCAAAATTTCTGCATATTATATGAAAAAAACAGTCATTTTCATTCATTTCGTCTGGAAAAGTGTCCCAATTTTTTATCAAATGTTGTTGAAAAAATGTAATCTGATTCACTTTGTCTCAAAATTCTGCTGAACTTTTGTGCTCGATCTGCGTTGTCACTACTTTCCCAGGCTCAGAATGAAATATAACGCCTTGAGATTAATGTTTGTAATGAGCAACGTCTACATATTATTTGCGTGTTCAAGTATGGAAATCCACATTGTACATAGTTCCCCTTTTTTAACGCGTCACGGTTATGGGTCACCCACAGAAAACCCTGCGTCTTCGAGTTGTCCGGTTATGGGTCACCCAGATAAAACCCTCACAAGTCTGCGTATTTATGTATCTCCGATGTCCCGATGGACCACATACCACGATCACAAAAATGTATTTTTCTTTGTTTATCGTTTTGTCACAATCTGCAAGTTTTATTTGAGTCAACCACCACCACTACGCCTGAGATGACACAATTCCACCACCGATTGCGAGCCATACCATCGTCTCAAGTTCCAGCCCTGCAAAATTACTGCGTCATTCGATATGTGTATTAAATTGTTCAATGTTATTCATGCAAAATCTTTGTTCATGTTTGTTTTCCGGAGTCATTTCATATTTCATTTTTCCATGAATTTTTCCTATGTATGTCCCAAACCATCTAAATTTCTACTTCAAATTGTGACTACTGAAATTTTTAGTTTGCAAACCTACACACTCTTTAAGACTATTTTTCAGGAGAAAAAATTTTTCGTGAGAGGGTAGTGTTAGGTATATGTATGCCTACGTAGATATGTATATGTAATTAGTTATGAATCTGTACATCACTCCATCTTTAACTCTCCACTAATAAATACTCTCCTCTGTCTCTTCTCACTGTGTACCACTTATTTATGTATAATCATATATACATAACAACATGGGGACATCGAATAACCGTGGGGAAATTGTCCCTCTGTCCCCACCCACGCTTCCGCGGCCACTGGCTGAAACATTGGTCGAGATACAAGTGCCGAAACCAGTGGCCGCGGAAGCCGTGGGGGTATTTGGGGACGTTAACATTGTAGGAAGGAAGGAGGGAGGGGTTTATATAACATGGGCAGATGGTGGGGACATCGAACAACCTTTGGGAGATTGTCCCTCTGTCCATACGCTTCCGCGGCCACTGGCTGGAACCAGGACCAGACAACACCTTTCAAGTCAACAGGCAGCGATGGATATTTAATCCATGAAATAAATTCGTCAGCTTATACTCACGCCGTTATCAAACTGCAACTTGCCAACACTATTCTCACTTTCTTCTTGGGATAAGAATAAGAATGGCAAAGGTAAAAAAAATTTGTTTTTGATTTTTGTAAATTTTTTAAGAATTTGGTAGATTTTTTAATATTTTGCAGAACATTTTTTTTATTTTGTATAATTTTTTAAAGATTTTATATAATGTTTATTGTTAAAGATTTTTGTCCGCTTTTGTAGATTTTTAACAAAATTTGTAGATGTTTTTAAAATTAACTAATCCTAAATTAAATTTTATAGAGGCAATTAAAGATTTCAATTTATTTTTATATTTTATTTAATTATTGTTTAGAAAATTTAGTAGAAAACTTATCAATTTTTTGTAAGATTTTGAAGTCGAATTCGGAAAGGTTGTGTGTTATAAATGCAAATTGCTAGTTAAATAGATGGAAAATAAAGTCAACACTGGACTGGACTGGACTGGAAACATGGGGATATTTTTTCGTACTTTGACTTTACCTCTTTGTAAATCCACTGGTCTTTTACTGCAATCTAATTAATTAATTGGCATAAATTTTACTTACCTTAGTTAAGGATGGTGTCGAGCTATGACTAAATTCTGGGAAAATAATTTCACTAAATAAATATAATATGATTCAAGTTGGAATGATTCCCAATTCTGAAAATTCGCATAATTTAAGGTTAGCTGAACATTGATCGTCGTCCCTAAATTCTGCAAAAGTGTTTCGCTTCTTGCAGGTTTGTAACATTTCTAGTTGCGCTGGAAAGCTAGCAAACGGGCGAAATGCGAGGCGAAAGAAACTGGGAGAAATGTGCGCCATCTAGCCACGTGCCGTATGAAGCATTTACAGCGTCGGGGCGTCATTTCTTGCGCCGTGCATTTCTCCCAGGTCAAAATATTTACCTGCAAGAAACCACTTTCTTCCCGCTATTTCTTGCACTTCAAAACAAGAAACGCAAGAAGTGCGAGGTGCAGGAAACTGGGAGAAAGTGCAAGAAATATGCGCCATCTGACCACGCGCCGTATGAAGTATTTATAGCGGCGAGGCGCAGTTTCTCCCACCTTGCATTTCTTGCACTTCAAAATATTAACCCGCAAGAAACCACTTTCTCCCAATTATTTCTTGCAACTGGTAATTTACTCTCGTCCGAAACACTGTCCTTAACAGCACCGAGGATTACTTCGTTTCAGAGATTTCTCAGACAGAGAAAGTGTTTCAAACTGTGCAGGTGTGTAAAACCTCACGGTAAATAAACATGTAGACTCTAAGAAATCCAGTATTAAAATAATACCACGTGGTATTCTTATACATATTGGTCTTCCAAAATCATATTGATTGATAAATAATACCTGTTCGGCAGGAAATTTCTACGAACCTGTATAGGTAATTTTAATACCAAGCAAGTGGTAGCAACTTTAACACAGAGAAATCCGTAGAATATTCCAGATTTCCAACAGTGTTGCGATAAAAAAGAGTCGAATATGCTAAACCGTGACTGAATCCCAAATTCCAAATAATCACACGACTTATGTATGCATTATTCTCGATCAAATCGGAATAACAATTCGGTCAGCAAACCAAATACATACATATTTACTTTGGTCGGGTTCCATCCATCAATACTTCTAAGGGACTAAATATAGCCCGGAATTTGATAGATAAGCCTGGCCCTGTGCAGATAAGCACTTACAAGTCCAGCCCTGTCCCCGCCATCCACCCACCCACCCACCTCTTCTCTCCTCTCTGTTTATACTAAATTTTGGCTGGCGACTCTACTAGAATTTGAGCAGATAATGAATTCAGACGGATTTTCTGTCTCTCTCTCTCTCCTCGAACTTTCTCCAGGACGACTTTCTCCACTGGAATTTATCGATCTCTTCCTTCCCCAGACTTTGTCTAATATCCAATTCCAAGTCTTCAATTGGACCCAGAAGTGAAGCAGAATCCTAAAATGAAGGCAGTAGGAGAGGAAAAGCGAAATCAAGATTTGCACTTGCAAAATCGGGCACCAACAATATTTACTGTCATGTGCTCTCAGTAATAATATCGAAAATTTGGATGTATGTTTAGTGGATAATATAATACGCTCTCTTTGACCCCGCAAGTGGAATTCAACGCAGGAAAGGAAAAAATTGAAATTCGCAAAAACCAAAATAATTGGTTTCTTTTGCTTGTTAATAATATTGCAAATTTTTCCACTTTTTACTCCGTAGACTTGTTATATACAATGAAATAGCGTTTTTTTCGCGTTCTAGCGATTTTCGAGTTTGATGGCTTAAAATTTCCGTAATTCTGTGTACATAAAGAATTTGGAATAAAATTAGGGGGCGCTTAGCCAGTTTACAAGCCAAAATGTGCGAATTTTGTATCCGACTGGCAGATTCGCTTCATAATTATCACCTTATATTTATTTTCTAAATTAGAGTGTATCTGATAATTGAATCTTAAAGCATTGTTTTATACGTAGATGGAAAAATTAAGTATGCCAGATTAATCTGAAATGCCGACACGGCATTGTAGTCCCCATTACCGACCAGCTAAATCATCGGGTTTGAATCAAACCTCTTACCACGCTGACAACCCTAATAGCAATTAATGTAGATGAAGAAAATTAATTATACAACTTTATGGCCCGAGGCAGGGATTGGTCAGATGGTGATAAATTCTTTAAATGTAATACTAATAGGTGATTCCAGTAGGTTACTTCAGATTTTATTTACTACTTTACAAAACAAATTATCGCGTTGGTCATCATTAGTAATAGTTACTTTAGACGTGGATTGAGCAAAAAATGTCCAAATTAAGTATGCAAATTTAGAGCAAAAAAACAGATTATATAATTTGTGTTCGTCGCGTTATAAATACGGATGCGACTCGCGTTATTTCATCATTATCAAGTTTCATCAGTGAGCTCAAAATCGCCGGAAAACAATTGGAAAACATTTTTTATTGTAAGTATGTTTTATCTATGTGATTTTTTAGGTTTCATCTTACAATGCGATGGTGTGAAGTGTAACTCTCCGATTTGGTTGAAATTTTGAAATTATGTAGTCCATGTCAATACAACAAACGTTTCTTGAGGCAGTTTGTGCGATGGTCAGAATATTTGAGGTCAAAGTTAAAAAACATGCGATTTTTAGGACAGGAAGGGAATGGAAGTTGATTTTGCTTCCTTCGCCTGGTAATAATCGACCGTTTTTCAACTTTGCCCTCAAATATTTTGGCAAAGCCTGACCGTCGCACAAACTGCCTCAAGAAACGTTGGTTGAATTGACTTGGACCACGTAATTTCAAAATTTCAACCAAATCGGAGGGTTACACTTCACACCATCGCATTGTTAGTTTTTTTTTCATTTTCAGAAAATAATTTTCAATACGTCTTCTCAAGACTTAAGTGGATTCAAAATGTTTGGCTTTCGACTCGTTATTCTCTCCTGTGCATTTTTCCTTCTTTTCGCAAACATTTCGGGGAACCCTGTGTCCGATGGTGGGAAGCCGGAAGTGGTCAAATTCCACAATAATTTGCACAAGAGAGATGTCACGTGCTCTGCAAGCGGGTGCAAGAAGGTTCCCAACAAGGTTATAAATAGGAGACTGCAGTACATGAATTTGCCCTATTGGTAGTTATGTAGGTACTCTTAAAACGAAAAACTTTGTTTCAAGGGATCACTAGTTGTGGCATTGTTTTTGAAAATAAATTAAATTGTTTTTGAAAATAATATTTATTTTAGGTTAAACAAAGTATAGCATAACACAAGCACGTTTGTTTGGAGACATATTTTTTACCACGATACATCCGGGCTTATGCATCCGTGTTGTCGTTGTGGTTATCTGTCTTGTGATAACTCTCTTGAAATTTTGCACATGCTTAAATCATGTAAAATTAGGAATTGAGTACGAAGATGAGCTTAATCGGTCAAATGGTTGGCTAAAAATTCGCAATTCGCAAAAAAAACAGTGCTTATTGTAAATTGTTTGCCCAACATTTCTCTTACGTTTTGGTAATAATATTGCAAATTTTTCCACTTATTCTTCGCCAGACTTGTATAATGTAGAACGATCTAATACGAAGTCCTCGATTGGACCTAGCCGTGCCGTGAAGGAAATCCTAAAATGAAGGCAGCTCCAGAGGAAGAGCAAAATCAAAATTCGCACTTGCAAAATCGTGCAAAATTGGTTACAACTGTCATCTTCTCATCAGGAATGATATTGGAAATTTGCATGCTTTCCCCTACTCTTCAATTTAACCCTACAAGCAGAATGTACTACAGGAAAGGAACAACATCAGAATTCGCAATTCGAGGAACAAAATCGAAATTCGCAAAAACCAGTACATAAAATAATTGGTTACCCAACATTTCGTTTACTTATTTGTAATAATATTGCAAATTTTTCCACTTTCTCCACCGAGACTTGCATCATCCGTTGTCTCCAAGTCATCAATCGGACCCAGAAATGAAGCCAAGAAAGAAGCAGCGAAATCAAAATTCGCACTTGCAAAATCCTGCAAAATTGGCCACACTAATATTTCTTGTCATCTTCTCAGTAATAATATTGCAAAAAATTTGCATGCCTTCCCCAAGTCTTCAATTTAACCACGCAAGCAGAATGCACCGTTTGAGATGAACAAACTCAAAATTCGCAAAATTTGCAAAAACCAGTGCATAAAATAATTGGTTACCTACATAACTCACATTTCTTTTACTCTTCTTCTTCGTAATAATATTGCAAATTTTTCCACTTTTTCGAGATGCACTTGAACCAAAGTTTGTCTTCCCGTGGAAAATAAATTTTCTTTCGCCGCTTTTCAACGACCATTACGTATACGTACTCCATCCCCATAAAGTGTTTCGTTTCTTGCGGGTTTGTCACATTTCTGGCACTGCAAATCAAGTAATGCAAGAATGCGAGGTGCAAGAAACTGGGAGAAACTCCATGAAATAAGCGCCATCTAGTCACGCGTCGTATGAACTATTTATAGCGGCGTGGCGTAGTTTCTTGTGCCTTTCATTTCTTGCAGGTCAAAATACTTGCAAAAAAACAGCTTCTTGCAAGCAATAGTAAGTTTCTTGCAGGTTTACTACATTTCTTGATCTGCAAAGGTAGATTCGCAAAAAATGAAAGGTGCAAGAAGCTGCACGAAAGTGCAAGAAACTGCAATAAATTGCAAAAAAACTACAAGGAAGTGCAAGAAACTGGGAGAAAGTGCGCCATCTAAATAGCCACGCGCCGTATGAAGTATTTATAGCGCCCGGAATTTAATTTCTCACGCCTTACATTTCTCCCAGGTCAAAATATTTACCTGCAAGAAACCACTTTCTCCCCCTTATTTCTTGCACGTGTTTAATACTCCCACCCGAAACCCTCCTTGCCCATTATGGATTAAAGGATTCCAAATAACCCAGGCGTTGAGTTGACTATGTGGATGGATCTGTACACACAAAAGTACGAAACTGCAGCCTCCTTCTCACTTGTCATTTGCATTTAGAGTGCCACTTTCACTGTCAGGATTGCTCCCTGCAAAATTAAACAGGATGAGAAAAATCTTCCCGTTTCGTCCCTCATCCACGAACTTCTTTCACAGTTTGCACAATAATGTGGAATGTTAAGGACAATGGATGGCTTTTAATTTGCATTTTCTCGGGGACAAGAAAATTGCCACTTTTCGCACAAATGAATGAAGGAGGGTTAAAGAGACTGAAATTATATTTCTTCTCGTTTTGATTTTCGAAAATTTTAATCTCATTTTTCTCAAGATATGTGTACGTCATTAATTCAATTAAATTTAGTAAATTCCACTATTTTTTAAAATTTGGGTAAAAATTCTGCCGAATTTCATATCGTGTTTTGTCTGTTAAAGAAAGAAAGTTGATATAATTTGATTGGGAAATTCAGCGATTTTAGAAATTTTGGTAAAAAAAATGCATTCGCTTCAGAATTTCATGTCCTGTATGGTCTGTTAAACCTAATTAGTACAATTTAATTGCTAAATTCCTCTGCTTCTCGAAATTTGGGTAAATGTTTTTCAGAATTTTATATTGTATTTGGCCTGTTAAATGTAAATTTCATTGGTAAATTTCATTGGTTATTTTTTAATTATGTAAAAAAATACTTTCACTTCAGAATTCTCCATCGTATTAAATTTAATTATTATTGAAATTCCGCTGTTTTCGAAATTCGCATAAAAATATTTTCAATCCAGAATATCATGCCGTGCCGTGTTTGGTCTTTTAAATTTAATTCAATTAAATTTTGTAAATTGAAATTTCACACTGTTTTTTGAAAATATGGTAAAACTTTCAGAATTGTATGTCATGTTTCGTCTGTTAAATGAAATTAATGCAATTTACTTAATTAGTAAATTCCATTGTTTATTTAAAACCTGCCCAAAAAATACTTTCTCTCCAAAATTTTATGTTGTTTGTAAAATCAAATTTAATTAAAATTAGAGTGCCGGACAAATCTCGAACCTTGAGCTGGGATCAGATTGGAAACATTTGAAATCCTCTTTTCTCCCGAAATAACCTACTCCCTGCCATTTCACGTTACGACGAAAACCCGAGAATCACATACATATGTCACATTTCACAAGGATTTGCACAAAGCTGACGCGAAATGTTGACAGGGATGTGTCACGGGGTAGAAAATGACTTCACAAAATCATCCCACTGGTCAAAATTCACTTCCTGTCCGTGTAAAAAAAGAAGATTTGCCGAATCGGGAGAATATCTTGTCAAAGGAAAATCTAAGCAGAAAACAGCAACGTCATCATTAATTATTATCACTGGGTAGATAATCCTTCTCCCCGTTCAGTCCAGCAAAAATCAGTGGCCGCGGAAGGACGAGGGTGGAGACAGACGGACAATGTCCCCACGGTTGTTCTATGTCCCCATGTTATATAAACCCCTCTCTCCACTTATCCTATAATGTTAAATCCCCCTGATGTCCCCACGGCTTCCGCGGCCACTGATGACACGAGTATAACATACTTTTATGCAGTGGCCGCGGAAGCGTGGGTGGGGACAGAGGGGCAATGTCCCCACGGTTGTTCAATGTCCGCATCATCTGTCCGTCTTATATAAATCTATCCCCCCCCCCCTATCCTACAATGTTAGTGGCCCCAGATGTCCCCACAGCTTCCGCGGCCACTGCGAAACAAGGAAATGTCAATCTGGCACATTTTCAGCTCAGCTTAGCTCGCCTCGTGAAATTTGCGAGGTTCAATGAAACGTGAAACTTTCTCTTTTTTGAAAATCTGATGAGCCATGGAATGACGTGAATGCACCAATTTTCAGTGTTTCGGGTACACAAGTAACCATTTATTTGCAAGAAATAAAGGTAAAAAATGTTTTTTTTAAAGCTAAATATGTGGACCTGCAAGAAACTACTTCCCGCTGCTATAAATACTTCATAGGGGAAGTGGCTGGATGGTGTACATTTCTTGCACCTCGAATTTCATGCGTGGCTTGCTTTGCAGTGCAAAAAAGTGTAGCAAACCCTCAAGAAACGAAGAAACACTACATAAAAATATCACGGATAAAAAAATTGTGCGAACATTAACGTCGCATAAAGAATTTGGAAAACTCGGATATTTCTTTAAATAGTAAAGGTTAATTGGTTATATTTGTTTTCCCATAAGGCAGCAAGGTTGGCCAAGATAATTTAACAAGATACAAGATATCAGATACAAGATACAAGATATATCTTGTATCTTGTGTAACGGAGTTTATCTTATCTTTTATCTTGTATCTGAACGTTTCTCAAACAGTATTTTGTATCTTGTATCTTGTATCTGGAGAATTTATTTCAATCAAATTTTATTTGAAATACTAGTCAAGATACAAGATAAATTTTTAGTGAAAAACCGGGAAACTTGCATATTTAGTAGTATTAAAACTTGGAATTATGAAGATTTAAAAACCTCAGTGTACAGCTTTGCCGAGCCGGATGCAAGGTTCTGTTGTATAATAACGTCGTTATATTTATTTATCCACAGTAAATAAACCCTCGCACGTTGGCAAATTTTGTAATTTGCATTATATTCTTAATTTGTACCACCATTAGAGCAATTATTCCAAATTTCAACTGAATATACTGGTAATAATAATTTCAGCTCCATTGAATAATTAAAAAAAATCAGTATGGGTCACCAATGATGAAATCCTCATATCTGTTTATAAATTGTAAACAGAGGGTGAGGACTTGCATTATAAATGACAATGCAAGTTATGAGTCTGTTCTATCATTATTAACAAGTTACTCGGCTACAATACAAAAAAGTCAAGTGGTGCTTCGTTATTTCATGTTTTTTTGCAAGCTCCGAATAATTTATCTTGTATCTTGAAAAAATTATTTCAAATAAATATCTTTTATCTTGTATCTGGGATCACAGTAGATAAAATCTATCTTGTATCTTGTATCTTGTGTAACTCTAATTATTTGTATTTAGTATTTTGTATCTTAAGGTTTCGTTCAAATATTTTGTATCTTGTATCTTGTATCTTTGAAACAAAGTATCTTGGCCAACCCTGTAAGGCAGGTTTGTAATCATGTGAAAATGATTATGTTAATGATATGTGATTCATACCTGTTCAAAAAAACTTTTTTCATTCAAAAGTCAGTCATCACTCTTTCTGACTGAAGATTTTCATTCACATTCACTCATTTTCTTTCAAATTCATTTCATTTCACTTCACTTCATCTGACTTCATTTCGTACT